CAATCTGCATTAAATGTAAATTTTCCATTATTTTAAATGCCAAAAAAAAAGGCAAAAAACAATGCTCAAATATAAATTATTTAGATATTTAAATATTTCTCAAAATTAATTCCGAGTACAAAATTAATCAATATAATCAGAACAATTACCATTAATCATTAAAATGAATTAATCATTTTTCTATAAATCTTTTTATGGTAATTGTTCTGATTAGATTTTCTCTTTGGTACCTAAACTTTACAAATTTAAGTGCAGTACTAGATTGGTAGTTGGGTCTCATTATTTTACACTTTAAATTGCTAGATGTGACCATAAGTTCTATGCTAAGAGTTTCTTCTGCACTTCTTGCCTGTGGAATTCACTTCTGGCTTCTTAATTTCCAGTCAAATTTGATCTTTAAAAATTTAAATGCAATGTCAATTGTTATCTTCTGTTGTTTTTTTCTCCTTAATTATGTTTTTCTTTTTCTCATATTCTTTCACACTCAGTAACCCCCTGTGTTTTAGTGGCTTTATCACCTTGCTTGGGTTAAAATGATTAAAAAATGCTTTTTATTAAGTTTATCTTTTTGTCCTTTAATTTATAAATGTAACAAGTATTTTGGAATAAATTTCATATACTAACCATAAAAATTATTCTGAGAAAGAACAACTTTTAAAAGTAGAGAATTTAAATGTGATGTCAATCATTACCTTCTGTCTTTTTTAATTCTTATTCTTTTATTGTCATTTCTCCTTAATAGTAGTTTTTCTCATATTCTCTAATACTCAGTAACCCTCATGCGTCATAGTGGCTTTATTGCCTTGCTTGGGGGGAAATGTTTAAAAAAAGGAAAACAATTTTTATAATGTGAGTATTCCAAATATATTTATCTGAATATCGATAGTTTAAATAAACTCAAACAAGGAGTTAAACATTTTTATTTAAGTCTATCTTATTATATCACTATCTTTTAGAAAGGAAAGACTAATGATAATTTCTCTCATAAAATCAATTTAAATCATAATTGCAAAGTAATCTTGCATGAGATCAATACTCATTGGTTGACAGTTATAAAAAATATAAGAACTAGAAAAAAAGTATGTTTTGAATTAAGCAATCTGTTTTTTTAAGTGAATTATGATAAATGGAGTTGATTCTTGGCCAGATTCAAACCAGCATTGTTGCCCACCAGATCACAAATTTTGATAAAAATTTATAATCTGGGGTCAGGACTAAATAGGTGATTAACTTGTTAATAATGATACTTGAAGCCAGCCCCTGATAAAAGGTAAATATGACTATAAATAGCAAGAAATTATTGAGAAAAAAATGATAGCCCAAAGGATGAGAACACAGAAATTTGCCCCAAACATTTATGATAAACTTTGGAAGAGCTAAACAAAAAATTTACTCCTTTCACAGTAAATTGAACATTTATAAAAAAATTTCCTTTTATTTCATCTTTTTTTTTGGCTACAAAATTATGCTTTTTAGAGAGGAAAAAAAAATTTAGTGGCATAGCTCAGAATATAACCAGGGGTAAACATGGCTGCTTTTACCCAATTTAATTCTCCAAAAGTATTGCATTTTGCAATTAATTTTAAAGAAATAAACTGATACAGTAGTAAAGATGTCTGATATTATATTCCAAAAATAGTACATCCTGAGTGAATTATTGAATGAATGATTATTTTAATAGCAATTCAATAAAAGATATTGAGAGTGCCTCTAACTATATATATATATATATATATATATATATATATATATATATATATATATATATATATTAAATGAATACTGTATTTTGTGTCATATAACATGCATTGATATATAACACAACAAATAATTTGGTAGAGAATATTTATAAAAAATTAAAAAGCTTACAATTTCCAAGAATTTCAAAGCCCTTCTGTTAGTAGAGTTTTGGTCTAAGATTGTAGGCAATTGGATATTCTCTGACCCTCAAAACATCCAACTAACCTTATAAATACCAAATATTTGCCATCATAGTTCACCTGCTTTCATCAGCTTGTTTAGGGTTTATAGAATAGTTAACAATCTACAACATTGTCAGAGTAGAGGATTGTGGATCTTTTACTTATATAACTGCATCACCTGAATATAGTTTACACTGATATCTGAATTAAATAGTACATTGCTTTTTTGATATTATGGCCTGGGATTTTAGTGGGTTTAAAAATTAGAGGTTCAGCTTAAGCTACCATACATATCAGTTGCATTCCTGAATATGCCCTAAAGTTTGATAACATCCAGCTGTACAATAGCAATATAATGTACCACAGACCTGTCACTAGTTGCGGGTTAGAGGACCTTGCCTACTGCAGAAAATCATTTGCACCCACACCCCCATGAAAATGATGGAAAATAATGTTCAAATTCTTACTTGTGATTCCTTTGCTGAAAACATTCTGGCAATGAGTCTGTCTTACTGTAAGTAGATTTTACATTGGCTTTCAGCTTTAATATATAAATCATTTTACATTGGCTTTAATATATAAATCATTTTACATTGGCTTTCAGCTTTAATATATAAATCATTTTACATTGGCTTTCAGCTTTAATATATAAATCATTTTACATTGGCTTTCAGCTTTAATGTTAGATTGATGATTCATCTATAACTTATATATATTTTTAATATTTTAAAATTATTTTGATTTGTAATCATAATTAAATCTTTTATAATCTGAAGTCATCAGAGAACTATTAAGTCAAGCTGTTCAGATCTTAGTCAGGTAACAGGTAAAAGATGCAAAATGATTTCTGGAGATTTGTGGAGTAAAAGGACTATTTATATGGTCAGAAATGCAGTATCCAAATTTTTAAAGTGTAAACAGTGAATTTTTTAAAATAAAATGATTATAGGATTTATAATAAAGGAATTAGTAAAAAGTAACTAAGTTTATTGAAAAGCAACATTTTTGTTCTGATGTTAGATGCATACATATTAAAAAAGACTTAGTGTTTAACATTTGCCATTTATATACAAAATAAAACACATATTCATTGTAAAAAATGTTATTTTAATGTTATAATTTTAAGTACAAAAGATATATATATATATATATATATATATATATATATATATTGTAAGCATCATTTTATTGTTTTTCTTTTAAATACAGGGCAAACATAGATAAGATATGAAAGATTCATCCTTTTTATTTATAATAGTAAGAAGAGTCATTCACAAAGTCAATATTAATCAGACAAATCTCTACATATTCTTGTTGTTGTTAAGAAAATATTTCAGCTGATTCTTCAGCTGTCACCAAGTGCATTTCATGAAGAAAAAATCTTCTGGGATGAGGCCCAGATAATAGACAGTGAATGGATGTGCAGGTGGTGCAATTGTTGGAATGAGACATTGGCAAGCTGAATTCAAATTTCAGTCAAGTTCATTACATTCACATTCGTCCAAATACCCATGGGAAAGGTATGAACCCATCCTTTTTCCTCCAGCTAAATAGTGTTAAATAGTAGGGCTGACTGGTTTTTTCAGCATTGATTGGTAACCAGTCTAGGAGAAGGGTGACACTGAATTCAAAACTATCCTGTAAGAATCTACTTGCAGCAGAAGCCACAGCAGCATGTTGGCCCCATATTCTTCAGTGCAGTCTATGAGAGTTAAGTGAGGGAGTAATAGATAGGGAGCATCGTTAGCATCGTCAGTTGAAGTCGGTGGCATATATTCGACTTGTTAGGTGCATCATGCTGTTTTCTTTGCTTAGGAAAGTGGATGTTGGTGAACTCCTCTAGATATAATTTGTATTCTTTTAGGTATTTGGTGTACCTTATGGGTTACCCCACTTGGCTTTGCCAAAAATGCCTGTTAGGTGGTGCTATTTAAGTGTATAGAAAAGCAAACATTTTTTTCTTTTTCCTCTTACTTCCAGATTTAGTCAAATATAGATAAACATTGCCAGGGAGGCATGTTTGTTTCCTTGGTCCATTGACTATTGAATTCTCACACATATGCACATACACACATGCTTGTGTATCAGACATGTACAAACACATTCTCATAGCTAGTTTTAACGTCTTTTTCTTTGATTTCACTTGTGTACATATGTAATTTCTTTTGTTAATAACATGTATTTAATTGTCGCTTGTTTTAAATTCTATGTTTTGCGTTTTTTTATTTTTACTCAGATTCACGCAAGTCCACCAAATATTGTTTGTGGGACAAATGTTCCAGGAGCTGTAAATATTTACTGAAAAAATGTTCACACCTTGCAACAAAAGAGGTGAGTGCTGTAACAATTTAGTGCTGTTGAAATGGATTAGTTCTGTTGGTATATTAAGGATCTTTTTTCTTTCTTGAAGTTTTCTTTTATACTCAACAATACTCCTGATTAGGGGTTAAACTATACACTCACTGAAATTCTGTATTAACTGCCACAACTATTTGAAGAAGAACTTAAATTATCGTAACAATTTTGTGTATTGTATATTTTTATATTATGTTATATAATAATTTAAGATTATTTTATTGATGTACCAGGATATTTCCAATTTAAGTATTTGTTCCCCTGATAATAGAACCTGATAATGCCACTGTTTAACAAAAACAATCTACATAAAAACTTGGTCTGTATTGTTTATATTGGTCAAAATTAAACATTTAGTTTCTCTAAAACTGTGATTTTTGAGAATCTAAACGTTTTGAGTATCAATTGCAAAAAGTCAATATTTTTTCAGACACACTTAAAAAAAAATTTCACTACGATTAAAATTAGAAAATACATCTTTTATTAAAGAATTAATCTTTGCATTTTTAGAAAATACTTCTTTGAATAAAGAATTAATCTTTAATGTTTGAATGTAAAAGATTTAAAAAAAAATCAAATATCAATTCTTTAAATATTTTCTAAAGTTTATATATAAAAAAGTAAATTAATTTTTAAAAATTTGTTTCTTTTATTCCCCACTCATCTAAGCAAGGAATATTTCAAGCCATTTCACAACTTCAAAATTAAGATCTCATCTGAAAGTTAAAGCCAGGGACCCCACATCCCATCATTGAGATAAGGAATTGACAGAATATCATTGCGTGGTTGGGTACAATCCACAGCTGTTCTGTTATGGTAGGCCAATCTGTCAAGAATCAACCTCAGTCTTCGTGGGTAGACTTTGGAGAGATCCTTTTGTTCCAATGGATCCTTGGCAATGTTAAACATCCAAACGTTATTCTCCTGGGGCTGAGTGTCTTTCATTGTCAAGTGCTTTTCATAAGGAGGAGCAAACCAGTGGCCACGTCCTTGAAAAAAGGAAAAAAGAAAATTACAATAAATTATAAGCTAAAAAATTCACATCCTTACTAAGATTGGGGAGACATTTTTCTGTTATTTAGATCATATTTATTTATTGTTTATATTTATTCTTACTAATGTTTCACATAGAAATCACAGTGGGCTCACAAGCAGATATTTGCCATTTCTGGAACATATCCCAAGTGAGTTGTGCTATAGTAATGGTAATATTGGTTGTTTCCTTATAAGGAAACATTTGCCATTCATTGATTGAGCAGTTTATACTACTGTCAGTTCAAATTTATAAAATCTTTCTTAAAATGATTTTTCAGGAAAACAGGTTTCTCAAGTCCAGTAGCTATTATTGTTCTTTCCAGGATTGATGGCAGTTTCCTTCCTAGCCTTTTGTTTGAAGTGGTGTGGATAATTTCATTATTTCCTCTTTGAGTAATATGTACTATCCATTTCAGCTGTTGCTGCTGTTGAAAGTACTCACATGATATGGCTTGTTATTTGGTGCAGTTCTTTGTCATTTTGTAGTGCCCATTCACAAGGTTTGAAGAAGAATTGTCTTTCCTAAGATCCACAGATTTTGCTTATTCAAAGCCATTTTTAACCATTAATCTTAGAAAGCAGTTGTATATAGTTGTCAGTTTAGATATTTTCAAATAGGTTTGGTGCCATGCATAGCATCCATATGAAAGTCTCAATCTGACAAGACTATTTAAGAACATGACTCAAGTTTTAAGGTTAATGTTTTGGCTTTGTAGCAATTTGTGGTGTTGGGCGAAACTATCTCTAGCATATTTTATGTTCAGTTTTCTTATCTCTTATACTAAATTTTTTATAACTGATACCACACACCAAGTTATTCAAAAAGTTTTAAAATTTTAGATGTGGTCTAACTGTTATAGTCTGTGCTAATAGGAATATATAGTTGAAAAACACAGTGGATAAAATAAGTAAAGGTTTATTGTAAAACCAGTACAATAAGAATAAAGGTAACAGTTATGCACAAGGTCATCGTAAGTCAATCTAGTAGTGAGTGCTACTATTGGAAAGTTGGTAGTTCTCGTGTAAGTCTAAGTCGTACTCAACAGATCCCAGCTAGACTCTGTAGTCCATTGCCTTACGGATACTTATGTTGAAATGAATTTTATAAGTGACAGACAATTTTAAATTGACACTGTTTTGAAAATGACCTTTATCATGTGGATTTGGAGGGACTACAACACAAAATTCAGTTAAAAGAACACTGATTTCCATTTTGAACAATCAGGACCAACAGGAAGAACAGGAGGTGGAAATGGAGGGAGAGCCTGCAGAAAGTAGATAGTCTCTCTCCCCTGATTCTTGCAAGTGAACAATATACTAATGATGACAACTTCAAATAACTGGTATGAAAGTATACACTAGATCTTGATCTTACAAATTTGTCTACCTAAAGAGTGAAATGGACTGAATGACTTACCCTGTCTTCCAGTCAAAACTTTCCACACTCCTAAACGGATGGAAGACTTGACTCTTGTATCAAAATCTGTCCCAGGCAACCGTTCACCATGTAAATCAGAGCAAGGGTCAATGTTGAAAAGAATCTCCTTACGCTTCGTATGCATTCCAAAACTAAGAAAAAAGACAAAATATAAAATTTAAAAAAATAGTACAATATTTCCAAGTTATATTTTTTTTGCTTTCATTATTAGACATTTTTACAATTAATTTTGTTTCAGCTGATGTTATCTTCTGATGTTAAATCAGTATAAATATTTTTTTTAAGGATTAAAAGATGAAGGACTTTTAGTATTACATGCACTAACATAGTACTGTTAAAAATGACAACATTATTTACATATGTATTGATACTTCTACCTGGGATCATTTAACCCTCTACTGTGTGTAATATCTGTTCACTCTAACTTATCTCAATGCTTTCACTCTCCAGCATGTTTTCTTAGGATCAAAGTTTAGTAATTGCACTCTGTTTTGATTTAAAGTTTCACACCCTCAAACTTAAGCTGAAAGTCAGTTTAATAAATGAACATTTTGTGAAATGTGTTACATACACACACACACAATATATATATATATTATGCACAGTACTTAGTGGAAAGTGCTCATTATCTGTGTATATAAACTATATATATATATATATATATATATATATATATATATATATATAATCTGTGAGCTAGCATATAAACTATATATATAAACTAATATCCATATAACTGAATATAGATATATATTTGGGAAGTGTTTTTGAGTTTACTATACACAGCCAAACTATTTCATGTAAACCCCTCAAATATAGTATGCATACTTATTGGATATACAAAAAATATTGCTTCTAATGGAGATGGTCTAATTCTACCTCTTTTCAGTTATATACAGTTATAATTACCATTTGTGACCATTTGTTGTAAGACTATAATTCTCTGTTTTTAATGTCCTGTATAAATTAAACTGAATTATGCTTTCTTTCATTAAGCAGAAATTCTAACTATGATAAAGATATAAATTTATGCTTTAATTATACTAAAATTCAATCAGTAGGTACACTAAAATTAGGTATACTAAAATTCAATCAGTAGGTACACTAAACTAAAAATAAACTGATGTATTGTCTTTGATTTTCTCTATAATTTATACAACAAACAAGAACTCATTTATGACATATAAAACAATGGATGATACAGTCATCAGAAATTTATATTATGAAAGAATAGCTTATTCTCTCTTTCCATCATGGAATGTTTGCTTTAACTTTGCATGGATGTATGTAATTTATGTGCATATGTTGTGCATAAATGACTTTCATGTACGTATGCACTTTAATATGCACAAAAGCACACACACACACACACATATATACACAATTTGACTGAGTTTTAAATAAGACATTGGAATAATACATTCCTACCCAACTCAATCTGGAAAAAAATACCCTTAGCTGAGCAATAAAATTATAAATTTGCAAACAAGAAAATAAACTTTTTAAACACTAAAAAATCAGATAAATATAAAATTTTATTGAACTTTTCAGAAGTTATTCAGTAATGAATAGAATAATAAAGTTTTTCATTTAATTTTGCAGAAATATTTTTAGTTGTGTCATTAAATTAAAATATACATGTGCACATGCAAATGTAGATACACACAATTTGAATGAAATTGAAATGGAAGTTTTTGTTGCAAGGGATAATTTACCCTTCTGTACGGATAAAAGCAAAAGAATATAAACTGAAATATGCAATCCTCTGTATTTAAACTTAATGTATTTTTTTTTATGAATACAGTATTTTAAATAAACAAACAATTTAGATTTGGAGATTGGTTATTTTGCCATCACTGAAGTGATAGTTACTAAACTAGTAAAAATAAAAAAAAACAATGGAACATAGTGTAATAAATATTTACTTATCAAACTATGTTCCATTGTTTTTTTTATACAAGAAGGAAGAAATATCCAAATAATATATATTTGGTTATTTAAGTAATAATTATTTGATTAATAAAATATTTTTTGAGGCTCAAATGTAAGCATTAATAAAATGTGTATTTAAAAAGATTCCTATGTGTACATACCAAATAGTATTCCATTGGTTAAAACCTGTTATATTTTTGGTCCCTTTCAGAGATCCTCCAGCCAACCCTACAAATGTTGGGTACCAGTCTGTGATATGCATAAGTTCCCGGAGTTTCCGTCCCCTCCGTCGCAGAAGTTTGCTGTACACAAAGCCAACACCTCTCACTCCACCTTCCCAGTACCGACCTTTCTCTCCTCGCAATGGCCAATTTGAAGATCCTTCAGAAATACTACCTCCATTGTCTGAAGAAAAATTATATTATTACACAATATGCTTTCTCACACATCATACGTAAGATTTTATTAATCAAAAATGTCAAAACTTCTTAAATACTGACAAAGTACTAAAAATATATATAGGAAGTAAACAAATGCCCAAATCTTTATTGTACAAGGTCTATCCAAAATGTATTCAGACATTTTGAATATCTTAAAATTGTTAGCCAATCAGAGAAGCCTATCTGTACATGTGAGAACAAACAATCTCTTGTGGGATTACTCTGTTGACAGTGAGAAGTTATTGTATAAACTAGTATACTATGTGACTATTACATTCGCAACAAATGAACAAGTAGATTCTTGAGATAAAAATGATCTGGAACAAAAAATCAACAGCGTCTGCCAAATATTCCAAGATATAGAACACAAGATAAACTTCTCCAAAACAGAAACAATGATTTGAAATTAGAATGAAATCAGTGGCATGATTTCAGAAACTCTTACCTGCCAATGCAATTATACACAGGTTGGGAAATTGTTTATATTATATATTTTGTTAAGAAACTAGTTTTTAAAATACAAACTCTAATCTAAATGGAAAGCAAAACAGAAAAAAATGGTGTGAAAATGGTCTATTCATTAGTGTACTTATTTGTACTGGCATGCATACATTTATCCGATGTTCTTTAATATTATCTTGTTAAGAAACTAGTTTTTGTCAGAAATACTACCTCTATTGTCTACAGAAAAATTAAATTATTACACAACATAGGGTATTGAGCACTTTCCACAAAGTACCACACATATAAAAAATATGCAAACTAATATCCATACAACTGAGTATATATATATATATATATATATATATATATTTGGGAAGTGTTTTTGAGTTTACTATACACAGCCAAACTATTTTATGTAAAGCCCTCAAATATGGTATGCATACTTATTGGACATACAAAAAATATTGCTTCTAATAGAGATGGCGTAATTCTACCTCTTTTCAGTTATATACAGTTATAATTACCATTTGTGACCGTTTATTGTAAGACTATAATTCTCTTTTGTTTTTAATGTCCTGTATAAATTAAACTGAATTCTTTCATTAAGCAGAAATTCCAACTATGATAAAGATATAAAGATAAACTTTTCCAAAACAGAAACTATGATTTGAAATTGGAGTGGAAATAGTGGAGGCATATATCCTGAATGTATCACTGTGTATGGATTATTTATAGGAAATTTGGTATAGGAGATAAGGAAATTAAACATAGAATAGGCTGTGCTAGGAATAAATTTGCTCCAAACTGCAAATTGCTATAAACCTAAAAAAGAAATGTTCTTAAAATAGCTTTGTTAGGCCAAGACCCTCATATGAATGTCATGTATGGTACTATTTAGAAATATCTAAACTGTCAGTTATATACAACTGCTTTCTAAGATCAATAGTTAGAAATGACTTCAATTGAGTGAAACCTGTAGATCTTAGTGAAGTCCATCCTTCTTTGAACCTCATTCTACAGAATCACAAACAAAAAAACTGTACCTGATGACAGAAACCATTCGATGACTTTCAACAGCAGCAACAACTAAAGTAGGTAGCACATGTAACTCAAAGCAAAAATAATGACATAATCAAGATATTGACATTCCACGCTACTTCAAGCAAAAGGTTAGAAAGGAAGCTCCCATCAATACTAGAAAGAATGATAAGTTACTGAACTTGAGAAATCTATTTTTCTGAAAAATTGTTTTAATAGAAAGATTTTATAAATTCCAAGCAAAAATAGCACTGGCTGCTCATTCAATGAATGTTAAATGTTTTCATATAAGGAAATATTACCATTAATATTGTGCAGGGTAGATAATAACTGACCATTGATTTGAAGAGTTAAGTGTCAGTTATTGTCTATCCTCCTTATCCTCATAATCTTTACTTCCTATGTCTCCTCTTTCATTTATATCACACAACCTCATTCATCATTACCATTTTAACAGTATCCCTCTACCTTAAGTGGCTCTTGTATTAAGTGAATTTTAGTATAAGAAAAGACTTTTTTGGAAAAACATTGCATCACCTTGGCCTGTCTGCTACCTTTCATTTCAGATTTAGCTCCCAGTGTCTTTTGGCTTTTTTTTTCAAAGTTAAATTCACTATTGTAACATCAGTGATAAAATTAAGAACCTGATGTGGAAACTGAGTTTGATCCCTTCAAAAGTGGAAGTGATAATGCGATAATTATGTGAGGTCTGAAAGTGAGAAGGGAATTCAGGTGTCAATTATTTTTTAACATTAAATGATTAAATACTTTTTATACTCACCTGTTCTGTTTATCACATGAACAGGTGTCAACTTGAGACATCTATATTAATCATACTTATTATTTTTTCTTCCTGCTGAGTTTTCACATTAGTAAAATCTGATGGGCATCACATGACAGGAAGTCTCCTTAACACTCCAGGACTTTCCTCAGTATTATCACAGATTTCAGTAATGCCATCATTCTTTCATCATTATTTTTTTTAATAATTTTTTTTAATAATAACAATAAGCAATACAAAAGTGTCAGTTGTACCCATAATTACTGGAGTACTTAGAACTGACCTAAGAGCCTTTGCAAAAAATGCTGCAACAATTAGAAATCAAAGAAATAATTGAAATCGAGTCAATAATACTGTAATAATAATTACAACTCTAAGCAGAAACTTATAAAGTTTTATTTGACTCATTCTGTTTCAGTACTGAAAAACCTTTATTTTATTGTGATGGATGGTTACAAACGAGACGGAAGATGGGATGTGCTTATTTTATTACCACAAATACCATTACTAAAACTAGAATTATGAAGAGATATTGGTGTATCAAGGAGACTTTCTGTCATTTGATCTGCTGCAAGAATCAGGAATTTCAAGTTATGGGAAACTAAAAAAAATGTCATTCATTTGCTCAAGATAACCACCTGGTGTTAACATGTAAATACATGAAAAATATTAATAATTTATGATGTAGAATAGTGTTACACATCTAAAAAACATACGTTTCATATATGTGGGTTATTATATAATTATTCTATTTCCATGTTGTTTTATAATCTAAGGTCTATTTAACATCAAACAAGTCAGCAAGAAATTCAAATTAATTTTTCTTGATTTCAGCTTCCTATTGAGAACTGATCATAGTAAAGAAAGAAGTCTGTTTTTGAAATCTAAATTTTCCAAAGACTATCATAAAGCAAAAAAAAATAATAAAAAGTAATGTATTAGGAACCTGGTTTTATTACTTTGTAATAAGAGATTCCATTATATTTTCTTTGAGCAGCATTAAATAATTACCATAATAACTGAATATCTTATCTTTCATGAAACCTTAATAAGACCAGGTTGTATGAAAGATAAATATATAAAGTCTCAGTGTGTTTTAGATACTTTTATGTAAATTAATTGAAACAAAATGAATAATTCCGTTATTATTTACTTTTTTTCATATTTTTCCAATGAAACATGACCCATTGCTCATATTAGTACTTTGTATGTCCATTCCACAAAGTCATTCCTTGCAGACTGATCACAGATTCTCAATTAGATTTAAATCAGGAGAGATTCCAGGCCAATCTATAGTAATTTGATTTGCTCACTGGTAAGGCTTGCCAGTGTGTTTGTGTAGTGCTATAATTTTCATATGCTTCCTTGGATTTATGTCCATTACAGACAATGGCCGTAGAACAACTAATCGACAATCGAGACAATAGTGTCTGGGTGTGATGAAAATCTGATGCAATCATGGATGATGCAATATTTTTCAAGGCCAAACAAATTTCATCATGCACCCTGAAAATAGATTCATATTGCTGCACAGCACTGCAAATAACCTAATCTGAGGAAAAAATAGAAATCAATTACACCCTGTCACTCAAGTGGGTTTAAAACTGACCATATGGTGAAAGAAAGGGAACTAAAATTAATTTGCACAAGGGTGTATATTAAGTTTCTAAACTTACTTTAATACGTTATACATATACATTTAATATGTTAATACATTAAGAGAATCAAATTTTTCTATACTTGATCATCTTATGGTTGAGGATAACTTTAATTCAGGTTCAAATTGATCCTAGCTCAAAAAGATGGCAACATTACTGGATTGTACTTACCAGTAGAAAAGACAAATACAGTGTTCTTCCACATTCCCCGTCTTTTTAATATTGTAATCAAATATCCAATGGATTCATCTACACAGGTGACCATGGCTGAAAAAAAAGATGTTTTTGCTTTAAAATGGGGCCTAATATATTTTGGACTCATACTGCAAATTTTATTTTTATACTGAACAAATTTCCTCACACTCTTCTACTCAAAAGTATGAACGACAAATTTTTAAACTTATAAATTGAGACATGAGGTTGAGGTGATGGAGTTTTGGCCAAACCCCTCAGATGATTTCAGAAAGTTTGACTGCCAATGCAATTATACTCAGGTTGGGAAATTGTTTATATTAATTATCTTGTTAAGAAACTAGTTTTTAAAATACAAACTCTAATCTAAATGAAAAGTAAAACAGAAAAAAATGATGTGAAAATGGCCTATTCATTAGTGTACTTATTTACTTATGCATACATTTATCCGATATTCTTTAAATATTTCTGAAATCTCCAAAACAGTATCATTACAGTACCTTACTACCCACAAATCCATTATTAATTCTGTTGTGGTCTTGTGGTAGAAAGGATGTACAGGTAGTTGGCAGTTTGGAATGAGAAATCAGTAAGCCAAGTTTGAATTCTGATCAAGTTTGCTATATACATTTTCATGCAAATACCTCTGGAGAAGGTATAAATCCGTCTCTTTTCTCTCTCCAGCTATGAGTGAAATTGTTGGACAGACAGCTTTTTAGTTGAACTGAATACCGGTTGGGTATGGGGCTAGCAACTCCATCTTGCAAGAACCTAATTGCTAAAGAAACCACAGCAGTAGTACCTAGCAACACAAAATTGTGGCCTTATATTCCATACAAGTGTACATAGTATGAGTGGATGAGTGAGTATGATAAGAAAGCTCTAAGCTATTAAGTGACAGTAAATAAGGCCCATTATCAAACTTCTAAGTTTGAATTATAATTAATATTCAGGTATACTTCACTCTATGCCATTAATTAGTTCCAGAGGTCATGACTTAGGTCAAAAAACAACAAGTCAAGATAACCACACTATAAACCATGAATAAGCACTCCCCCATTGCTTATTACAGTATCTATGATATATACATACAGTGTTCTGAATAAAATAATTAATTTCCCCCTTATCTTCCAGCAATATAGCTTTACACTTAGCATTAGCACTGGGAATTTTTTCAGAGCCATGGACAAAAATGTATTCTAAATCACAAATGAAATGTAATTGAAAGAACATCAATGGCAGAGCATAGATGTAAACAAGTCTGATTTCAAAATCGGTGTTAGAGTGAAAAACAATAAATGAGTGCCATCTGTTGGCAGGAATTTGAAATAAGAACATCTGACGAATATAATCTTTTTGTTTTTGATTATATTTATATATATATATATATATATATATATATATATATATATATATATATATATATATATATATATATAGTATACATAATATTATTATTACATTTATATAAATATGATTTTATATGTGTTTATTGTTATTTTAGTGTTTTGATGTTTCTAATATTTTTAACAGCTGATGTAAACTCGAGTAAAATGACCTAAAGAGAGATTTATTTTTCCATATAACATTAATGAAAAACTGATATATCTTCAAAAATGACTTAATTGAAATGACTTAAGACAAGGTATCACTGTACTGAGTACAGTCAAGCATGTTAAACAGCAGTAACATTCATCAACAGACATGCAGTTTAGGTTTAAGGCTCAAAGTTCCAAAGAGAATTGTCCTATGGGACAATAGACTAGTAAATTAAAGCATTGGTTTGTGAAATTAGTGATATAGTAATTGTTAGTTCAATCCCTGGGTCAAGCAGTGTGTACTTAAACTCAGTGGGAATGAGGCAAGCAATAAATGAGCAGTAGGTCTCATTATTTTACTGTTGAAATTGCTAAATGTAACTACAATTTCTATCTTAATAGTTTCTCTCTTGCACTTCACACCTGTGAAACTCTCTTCTTGCTTTCCTATCAACTCAAATCTTTAAAGACTTAAATGCAATGTTAATTGTCATTTTCTATTTCCTTGAATCCTGTTTTTTCTATTGTTCTTTCTCCTCAGTAAAGTTTTCTCAGTTTCCTTCACTCAGTAACCTCTTGCATCTTAGTGGATTTATCACCTTACTTGGAAATAATTAAAAAAAAACAAAAAATACATTGACAGTGTGAATGCCAGGATAGTAGCAGACAAAAGACTTAACAGAAAAGATGAAGAAACAAACAGGGAAAAGAAAAGTTAAAAGTTATTTATTCTGGACTTTACACTGAATGCAGATTGTAAAAATCCCAATCTCTAAGAAAGGCAATGATTTACTGACCTGCAAGTCTTCGCCTTTTTCCTGGTGGAATTCTTGAGTCTTTGTATTTTTCTTTGTATTTTAATGGTACCTTCAAAGGTTCATGAACTGCCTGCAGAGACAACATTAGAAACAAAGGCTGCAAAGAAAAATAAAAATTCTATTAATAAGAGAATATCTAAAAAGAATTCACATTAAAACAGATAGAAAATTAGTAATATAATTTATCATCTTTTCCAATATAGAATGCATATGATATAATCTGATTACTGTACCCTGTAGGCCTTTTCAGGTATTTGGTATATCTAATAATCTTTAGGGAAGGTTGAACAATGGAGATTTTGTTCTGATTTTGTTCTTTTTGTCATGTTTGGTCTTTTTCCAAAGGAAGAATTTTATAATTATCACCTTTCTTGCAATTTTGATTGATTTTCTTTAATGAGTTAAAGAACTTCTGCACTCCTTGACACTGAAATTGAGCACAACACTTCCAAAGAATGAGACAAACATGTTTATCCCCTTGGCTCTCTCCCAAGTAGGGATACCAGACATGACAGTAAACAAAAGATGAGAACAACATATTCTACTTGGATAAAATAAAGGTTCCATTTAAAATTCTTTGATATCTGCAGAAAGTAACAAATGTCTAAGAAAAGCTGGAGAGCACAGTTATTGAAACATTGTAATAAAAACAACAAAGATAATGATCAAAGTCTAAAAGAATTCATGTATAAGAACAATAAAAAATGAAAGGTCAGAATGATTAAATGATGGACAGAGGAGGAATTATTTTGATGAACCTCATAAAAACAAAAGGAATTTAGATCCATGCATTGTGAATTATAATTATAATCTGATTATTTTCAAAAAACAAAGATCCAAGGTTAGCTGTTAAAATCAATTCTGATTTCAATACGTTAATTCACAGTCATAATTTATAATTCTTCCTTAATTGTATTTTTACAGATCACTTCAAATTTCCTCAGAAGGAGGTCAGGTTGAAATTATTATAATTCTAAGTGATTAATCTTTGCTGAAATAACTATTTTTCTTTCAACACTCAAAGACTGTAAAGTAGAACATGAAAAAAACCTTCTTTTCCCTCAATCAAATCATAATTTATTTTAATCATTGTGATGAAGAGAGAAAAACAACTCAAGTATCTGCTGCTAGAGAAGAGAATAAGTGCCAAACAAATTCAGTCACAAGACTCAAAGAAAGGATAGGGTGCCTGCTGTAATGCAATTGCATTTGCAGACTGAATCACAAGTTTATAAAGTGGCCATGTAGTTAATAAATTTAAACAGTAATGACGATGAGAAACTGCTTTTGTGTGACATTTAACAAGATCATTCGGTAGCACAATTTCCTAGTGTAGAGACTTTTAGCTTCACTTCATACTCCAGTGCCATCTGATAGATGAAGCAAAGCATAATACACACACACACACATATATATATATATATACATACACTACCAGTCAAAAGTATTTGGCCACCCTCAAAAATTTATATTTCTCATCCTAAAAGTGTTATTTGTAATGAAACAAGTTAAGCACCACAATGGTTTTAGTTATTATACTAAATACAAGTTTTCCTCAGTAACTTTGACCATAAGGCATTTGAAGGCATTTTTCTTCTTTAGTACTAAGCATGAATAAAATGTTTTCCAAAAGTTACATTATACCACCACTTGAATTAGACTATATTGTGTTGAATTCCTGCTTGCTTGATACTATTTGTTTTACCTATGCTGACATACCTTTCCCAGTAGTGAAATCTGTTATTTTTATTTTGTTTAAATTAAAGCCTAAATTTTGCAACTTCTCAACAAAATGCCCAAAACACATGAACTTACACTTGAACAAAGACAAGAGATCATTACTTTATAAAAAGAAGGATATTCAAGCAGAGAAATTAAAAAAAAATAAAAATTCCCAGAACTATAGTGAATTTTACTGTTAGGAGACATCAGGAAACAGGATAAAACAAGACCAAAAGTTGGGCTGATAGACCAAAAGCAACATCAAGAGCAGAGGACAATTTCATCTGAGTCACCAGCTTGTGTCACAGATGGCTGACTGCTCCAAGCATTACTGCACAACTGAACCAATGTTGTGAAAAAAATATATCAACATCCACTGTGAGGAGAAGACTCTGTGATGCTGTCAGGATTGCTGTCAAGTAACCACTGTTGAGGAATCAAAACAATGCCAAAAGACTCCAGTGGGCCAAGGCACTTAAAGACTGGACAATAGGGCAGTGGAATTAAGTCTTTTAGACTGATGAATCAAAGTTTGAAATCTTTGGATCAAATAGGAAAGTCTATGTGCAATGAAGAGTTGGTAAAAGATTTGCAACCACCTGTATCACACCAACCGTAAAGCATAGAGGAGGCTCTGTTATGATGGTGGTGGTGGGTGGTGGCAATTGCAAAGTCAGGGATTTGCACCAGGTGAAGGACAAATTGAATCAGACTGGATATCACAGCATACTGCAGTATCACGTGATCCCATCTGGAATGTGGCTTGTGGGTCAAGGATTTTTATTCATGCAAGATAATGACCCAAAGCATACTAGTAAACTCTGCCAGAGGTACATTAAAAGCAATGAGGAACAGCTTTAACTGATGTCTTGGCTGGCACAATCAGTGGACTTAAATCCCATTGAACTGGTGAGGGATGAACTTGACTGAAAAGTCAGAGCTAAACAACCCACAAGTGTGGCTCACTTCTGGCAACTCTTACAGGAAAGCTGGGAAGAACTATCTTCAGTCTACCTCCAGTCTTTGGTGGAAAGAATGGTGAGAATCTCTGAAGCAGTGATAGTGGGCAAAGCAGGTCATTTTCATGAATCAAATTTTAACAAGTTATTTGTGTTTTTTTATTTAATTTGTATTTAATGTGGCTCAGGAAGACTTGTATTTAGTATAATAAATAAAACCATTGTGGTGCTTGACTTGTTTCATTGAAAATAACACTTGTAGAATGAGAAATAAAAATTTTTGAGGGTTGCCAAATACTTTTGACTAGTATTGTGTGTATATATATATATATATATATATATATATATATATATATATATATAATAATATTAGTGGTAAAATATACATAAATATGCAAAATATATAAATATATATACATAGGTGCATACCCATACATGTATATTTTTTGAATAAAAAATTCCGAGACGATAGAATCCAGGTAGAACTCAATGTCAGGACAGAGTAAGGATATAATAAAAGGCTTAAACACTAATATTCCATGGTCATTATTTATTCCATTGGAATGTAAATCTGATCAATTCATCAGACCTACAAATTCCATTTGGAATTTGTAGGACCATGGAATATTAGTGTTTTTCATTTTTTATTATATATATATATATATATATATATATATATATATATATATATATATATATATTGAAGAGATAAATTATTCAATGTACACATGCACTATTATGAGTGCTGAAAAGGTCTCAGGCCAAAGAATTTTGAAGTTTGGTCAGATTTTGAGAAGTGGGTTGAGCCAAGAATTTTTCAGCACCTCCTTATATATACAAATATATTTATATTTATCTAGGGTTGAAGTTCTGCCTGTCTTGAAAATGAGTATATGATATCCTGGTCCTTACACTGGATGAAAACTAACCAATGGCACTACCCTCAATAATACTCACAAAATTGACTTACACACACATATATAATTTGTTTGTTTTCAACTTGTGCAAAAACCAGGATTTCATATACTCATTTTCAAGACAGGCCTTCAACTGTATTTGGTGCCATACCATATTATAGTCAACTTAATATCTATCTATATAATCAATCAATCAATGTTTGTATGTACATACATATATATATTACTCACCTTTTTTGGGTTGTGATTCTTAACAATCTTTGCTGACTTTTTTGCAAATAGGTAAGTGGAATAGCTCTTTTTTCCCTTGTATTGCAAGTCCGGTTCTGTGTTATTCCAGAGGTCGAGTCCACAAAATCCTTCAAAGCATCGACGATGTGTGTAATGGTTGCTTGATCCCGTCAGAAAACCTTCAAATGGCAACTGATACATGAGACAACAGCAGCAGCAGCAGCAACAAATAAAATGAAAAAAAAATCACACTTTTCAGTGAGTATTCATCAAATTTACAATCTTTATAATAGTTGCTTCTTTTCTCTTATCCATCTGACAGATCATGCAGTAGAGAAAATAGAACTATAGGACTTCATTGAATTTGATCTGAAATGGTTCTATAAATAAGCTTAGCAAGTTGGATTGAATTATATAAATTTTAATTATCACTTAATAAATATCTTGCTATAATTTTCTGTCTTTATTTCTGGGATAAGGAATTATTATTTAATTTATTGATATTCTCACTAATTTCTTAAGCTTTGTTAATATTATTAACATTATTTTTATACTTTGGGCTGATTATTAAATGTGTACCATTAATAATTATGAAAATTTATATAAGTTAAAAATTGGATAAAGAATATACTCTTTTATTACAACAGAAAGCATTAAAATATATTTTATAAATTCATCATGGATAAATAAAATAACATAAAACTTATTTTTTATTAAATATTATTAATGAAACACCATATTCCATCTAAGAAGAAAAAGAAGAGAAATATTCATTTACTGCCCTTCAAGATGTTCACTACTGTGTATCTGTAGAAATTAACTCTTTGGATTTTTAGTTATTCACCAAAATGATAAGTAACTTTTATTTCCTGTTCAGTCACATTTTATAGTTTTCCATTTACAAAAAATTGCTTTTCCTTTTTTTGTAAAAAAAAAATCAATTATATGCATATATGCAGATTCATATTTTAAGATAACAAAGACTATGTTGGCAAGGACAAAATTTAAAACCTTGTAAAATTCTGCATTAAAAATTTGTTATATTTTACAAAACCTTGTTGTTCATTCTTCACTAAATTTGTTGAAGTTTAATCAAAGTCACATAAAAATTATATATTCAACTAATGAATGCATGCCAAACAAGTCTTTTTTTTTTCTGAGAAACAAGATGTAGACAAAATAAACTAACACAATTATATTGTTTCAGAATGAAATAATAGCTACATGAATTAAACATTGGTTCATGTATCTAGTGACATAGTAATTGTGAGTTCAATCCTGGGTTGGGTAGTACAAACTTAGACTCAGTGGAAACAGGTCAAGCAATAACTGAACAGTAATAAATAAGAACAAGATGAGATATTGCTAGACACAGACAGCAGAATAAGAACAATCTACCTGCACCTCATAGATTAAATAAAGGGTTCAGTTCCAAAGCTTACCTGTATTAACAGATATCTGAAGAAATTTAGTGGGTAAAATGGCTCAAACCTTCTGATAATAACAACAAAGATGTGGACATTAATCCAAATATCAATAATGTATTACGTTTTAAGAAAAGTTTGCAGCCTTTTTCAATAGGTGATGCTTAAATACATGATTTCATTTCACATGAAACTGTGATTTATGATATATATATATATTCTAAAGGCTGACATTTTAGAAAGTCTTGCTATGTGATTCATATGTGAATGGTGAATTTTAAATGTTTGTATGTTAAAACTAAAAATAGAGAAAAATGAGATACATTTTCCTTATCTGAAAGGAAAAAGATATACAAACAGCAACAAGATATGTGCCATTTATAAAGATGGTGCCATTGCTGTTCATAAGGACTACAAGTGGAAATTTTGATCTGAAGATTGAGAACATTCTGACAGGCCTGAAGTTTTTGACAATACACAAAATTAGAATACTGATTTAAATTAATCCAGGTCACACAATACTCGACATCACAGAGATATTCCACATATCTCGAATAAGCATTGTAAGGCATTTGAAAACATGTGATTATGTGAATAATTGAAATGTTTTGTGTGCTTCAAGATTTAATAGAAAACAGTTAAGGGATGATAATTCCATCTGTGATTCTCTGCTCAAACATAACACAAACAACCCCTTTTTGAAAAGAATGATCATAAGTGATGAAAAATGGATTGTTTACCACAATGTGGAGTGAAAAAAAGATCCAGTGGAAAATGTCAATAACTATTCTGTTTCTGAAGAAAGGGATACTATGTATCTGGTGGGAGTGGAAAAGCATTGTGTATTAATCAAATGTTGAATTTGGACAAGTACTATTCCCAATTAGAATGATTAAAGGAAGCAATTAATGAAAAGTGTTCAGAATTGTGATATCAGAAGGGGGTCATTTTCTATTAGGACAATGTCAGATGTCATGACTCTTTGTAGATTGGGTAGAAATTTGCACAGCTTGGCAGGAATATCTTACTACAGGTGATTTACTCACCTTTGGATTTACAACTTATTTTGATCCCTACAAAATTCTGTTAATGGGAAGAAATTCAATTTTCTGGAAGCCTGTAAAAACCATTTAGACCACTTCATCATTCAGAAAGGTGACAAATTCTGAGAGGAAGTGAAGTTGCCTCAAAGATGGCAAAAGGTAGTGGAATAAAATGGCATATATGTGGTTGAATAAATCTATGTACAAATATCTATTCAATTGTTCAATTTAAGTTTAAAGTATTTTTTACTGTGATAATGAAAACGTTAAATAATTTCATCACATATTAAAAAAGATACAGTAAAAGATAAGAAATAACAACACTTCATTGCTGGAGAATGGCATTGTAAACTTAATAGATGTTAAATTATTCTGATTTTATATTAATTGTAATAAGCCTTGTTTGATAAAATCAACATAATTTCAGAATAAGTCAACATTTAAAATGTATTAAAATGTCTTACATAAAATGAGCTCTTCTATATGAATACCTATAGAAACATTCAGGGTACACACACACAGTCTTTCATCATCATTTTCACCAAATTGTCAAGTTCTGAAAGTCATTTGAATTTAAACTTCTTTTGGGTGGATTAGATAACTATATCAGATTTTATCTTCACCAGAGTTAGTTTTGGGTTTGTAAGCACAACTACTTTATGGTAAAATTATCCAAATATGTAAATTCCTTTACAAAAAAATGAAAAACAAAAAACATCAAAAATCATGGATATGTTAATTTAAATATATATAAAGAAAAGCTTAAGTGTATACATATAAATATATCTACTCACACACATAAGTACCCACATATGTATATTTTTACATAAACTCACATTCAAGCATATACTCAGAAATCCATTTCTCTCTCTTTTTCTCTCTCTCTTTCCCTCTGTATATATGTCTGTGCATAAACACAGACACACACATATACATACATATACACTCTCTTTATTATATATGTTTTATAAGTAAAAAGTAGGAAAGTATTATTTTATGCTCAGTAGTCATTAGTTATTTGTTGTATTTTTTTCTTTTGGTTATTTGCAAAAGTTGTTTTTTTTTTGTTCAGTGTTCTCGGCAAATGTGATAAGTGTGACAAAGTAAAACAAAGGTTAATATTTCATCATGGATAACATGTCAATGAAAAATGATTGATAAAGGAAGAAATAAAAATGGATCCATGTCAGACATTTTTCTACAGTTTTAATATAAAATCATATTATCTGGTTCACATTCCTCCCCAGAAAGAAATTACAAAACCTCCTACAGAAGGTAGCAAAGGAGAACAAGAAGAAGGGACTAAGAATAAACTACAAGACAGAATGCATGGTCATCAGTAAAAAGATGAGCCTGAAATATGATTTGCAGGTTGGGGTCACTTAAATCAAGAAGGTGCAGAATTTTAAATATCTGGGAAGTGTTTTGATGGAGGATGGTATGTGTGATGTTGAGATCCAAAGACATATTGAGATAGCCAAGGACACATTCTAAAACCTGGGCAGGGTATTGTGGGACAGGAGGATTTCTTTAGTAACAAAGTAAAGAGTACTGAGCTGCTACATGACGTCTGTCCTCCTTTACGGCAGTGAATGTTGGATGGTCTCCTTAAAGATGAAAAAGAGACTTGAGGCAAGGGTGGTATGGTTCTACAGAAGGATGCTAAGGATATCATAGACCGAGAATGTGAGCAATGATAAACTTCTGGAGAGGATGCAAACAAGGAGGAAGCTTATACTTAACATCAGGAAGAGGCAGATGAAATTTTTGGGACACGTAATGAGAAAGGAGGGCCTGGAGAATCTGATACTCACAGGCTGAATAGAAAGAAAGAGAGACAAAGGAATTCAATGCATGACATACCTGGCAGGCTTAAGCAAGTGGATGACAGAATGTGGTCTGGGGGAGAATGACAGAGGGACAAAACTTATTGAGAGCTACAAGGGATAGGAGGAAGTGGAGAGCCATGATCACATACATCCTGAAGGAACATGGCACTTAGAAAGAAGAGGTTTAACTCTTGTTTCCTGTTTAGCATTGGCTTTCCAGTTCCTTCTAAAGTCTATTTCAATTCTATACTTCTAAAATCTCTGCCTAAACTCTGTAATTTTATTTACTATTTATTTACTTATTTTTTCAATGGGAGTAGTATATAAACTATCTTACTTCTTGGCTATTGCACAGTGTAGGGTTTCCTTACTTTGCTTGATTCAGCAGCAGGAATAATCAGCAGGGTACAACCAAAAATTTCAGAGGTTATAAAAGTCTTGACCAAGCCTTATTCAGTGTCTGTTGCATTTCTCATTTTCAGCGACCTTTACCTCATGGCCAGCTCTTTCCCATTTTTTCACTTTCAATGGTCTCTACCTTCAAGTCCAGCTCAAAGGGCTACATGTAACCCTCACTTCAGAAGACAATGCCTGCCTTGCCAGCTTGACTTCAGATTTCTCATTCCTCCTGTGGGAACTGGTGAAGAAATCTTCCTTTGAGACACTTAGCAAAGGAAAGCTACACTCAACCCTTGATGCAGAAGATGATAAGAGTCCTGGCAACTTGATTCAGATTTCTCATTCTTTCCATGGTAACTGGCAGAGAAATCTCTCTTCAAGACACCTACCAAAGAAAACTACACACAACACTTGCTGCAAAAGATGAGGTCTGTCCTAGCAGTTTCACACTTGGATTTTTTGTTCCTCCCATGGGAACTAGCGG